CCTACCATTTGCAACAACATGGATGGAGCTGGAGGGTATTATGCTCAGTGAAATAAGCCAGGTGGAGAAAGACAAGTCCCAAATGATTTCACTCATCTGTGGAGCATAAGAACAAAGAAAAAACTGAAGGAACAAAACAGCAGCAGAATCACAGAACCCATGAATGGACTAACAGTTACCAAAGGGAAAGGGACTGGGGAGGATGGGTGGGAAGGGAGGGACAAGGGTGGGAAACAGGGGCATTGCAATTAGCAGACATAATGTGGGGGAGCACGGGGAGGGCTGTGCAACACAAGAAGACAAGTGGTGATTCCGTGGCATCTTGCTGTGCTGGTGGACGGTGGCTGTGGGGGGTGGGGGTGACTTTACGATAGGGGGAGTCTAGTAACCATAATGTTGCTCATGTGATTGTAGGTTAATGATACCAAAAAAATAAATAAACCAATAAATTCCAAGACTGCAGAGAGAAAAGTCTGAACAAATTCACTTCAGATGCCAATGTCTTCAAGGAAAAGGGGACAAAGTGGATGGCATATTGGATGGGACGGGTTTCAAAGGAGGTTCTCCTCTCTGCCATCCTCCGTGACCCCTACCTTGCCAGCCCGCAGCCCCAGGCAAACATGAACAGCTGCCTCCTTGGTTCTTCATCCCAGACTGCCGAGCCCTGCCGGGGAAACGGTGCCACATTACGCAACACAGGTGTGCCCTTCATGCCCCTCGTGACTCTTCTTATTGGGTTGACGTCCCGTCTTCAATCCAGCCACACCTGGGTATTGCACACAGTTCTGGAACCACGTGTCCAGGGAGGCTGAGACAGGCTGAAGCAGGCAGGTCCAGAGGCTTAGTGACTCAAACCCTGCCCTCCCAGGAATTTCTGAAAGAATGTTTGCTACTTAGCCTGAAGAACATGAATGCTGATTCTGAAGTCTGACAGCCCCTCAGGAGGTTCGGAGGAGCAGCTGGGAAGGGCTGCACAGAAAAGCATTCAAGAGTCAGCCTCAGGAGCGGCCTGTGAGAGCTCTCCCTGGGCAGAACGGGCGTCAGGAGGGAGCTCCGGTCCTGGAGGCTGATCGGATCGAAGTTTGATCTTCGGAAGGTGGCTTGACTAGGGTTGGGGGATCCCCGGTCATCGGGCGAAACTTTCTGTGTTTCAACTTTCAGATGTATTAAGACACTTACCTTATGTACAGGAGACGCACTCATCAGTACTGAATAGGGCCTCTATGGGGTAGAGGGACACACACGTGAAAAGGTCATTGGTGGGTGGCATTAGAAGTACAAGAGAAAGGCTGGTATTAGAAGGTATAAAATGCAAGCAAAAGATAGGATTTAAAAAAAATTATTGGAATATAGTTGATACCCAATGTTATGTTAGTACAGGTTTCGGGAGAGAGATTCATCAATGATGCACATTATTAAACGCTCGCCACGGAGGGTGTAGTTACCGCCTATCCCCTTGCCAAGATATTACACTATTATGAGCAGTGTTCCCTATGCCGGCCTTCCAGCCCTGTGACCTGTTCTATGGTTTGAAGCCGGGACCTCTTTATCCCCTTCCCATTTCACCTGTGCCTCCCCCTCCTGGTAACCGGCCTTCCACGCTGTGTTTATGAGTCTGTTTCTGTTCTGTTTGGTTTTTTTTGTTTGTTTTGTTTTTCAGATTCCACATATAAATAAAGCCATATGATGCTCAAAAGATGGGAATTTTGGGTTCTATCATGTCAGAAAAGCCACTTGAACATAAGAGAGGGTAAAACTGACTTAAGAAAGATTAGGGAGAAAGAGTCTTGGCAGCTTTTGAGTCTGTGGTTCCTGACATCCCAGAGGCCTCTCTGTGTTTGGTCGTTCAGCTGGTATCCCACGAGCCAGAACCTTCCCTCCGGCCTTAACCGGGGGGCTGTCCTAAGACACACCGGCTCCCCAGTGATCGCAGCCATCCTGGGCCGTGTGTTCTGAGAGCACAGCTTCTCTCTGCCCCGAACGCCCAGATCCCCCAGCCTCTCTCAATGGCAGTGTCCTTAACCCCAGGAGCAGGAAGGGCCCCTCCTGTCTCTGCATCACTTTAAGCCCCTCCTTTCACGACGCCCTCTCTTGTTCTCTAGCGACCGGGGAGGGGTGGGGGTCCACTCTGCACAAACGTCAGCCCCTGAAGACAGGAGCTGCGTCAGGAGTGTGTTACCCCCCATCCCAGCCATCCTCACACACGGTGGAAGGCTGAATGAGGGGAGACAACTTCAATTTGGCAAACGAAGGTTCAGGAGCACCTAGCCCTTGAGAGAAATGGGTGGAAAGAGAATCAGGGCACCTCTCTAGACGGGTCTGTGCCATGGAGACGCAGTTCATAACGATCATTCAGAAAGACAGTAGTGATAAAACTGAGAAAGCATATTCCAATCACGTAACAGTGATTTAATGAAAACAGGAACACCGGCCACACGTAAGCCTCAGCTACTGCCCTTTGGAATAAACCCCCATAACAGAAATGTATGGGGCTACATTTCCTTCTGTGTAAGAGCAGAAAGGTGTGTTTTCTATCCCGGCTTCTCAGGCTTCAGCATGCCCGGGCTCCCCTGGGGGCCCTGATAACAGCTAGATGCTGTGGGGCAGGTCCGGCCCAGAGCTGAGGCTCTGTGTTCCGATTCCCACGCTGCTGGTTTGGGGACCACGCTTTGCCTGTGGAGGGTGAACACCAGTGGCCCCCGAGTGTGGCTTTCAGCTGATAACACTGGGGAGCTTCCAAAGCCACTGGGGCTCACGTCCCACCCCCAGACAAGGTGCTTTAACTCGACTGACGCGCGGCTTGGGCCTGGGCAATTTTTAAAAGATCTTCAAGGGATGTGATGTGCAGACAAGTCCGGGAACCCCTGCTCTCTTCAGCACAGAACTAGACTCTCAGCCGCTGGGCCCGCATCCCACCTCGGTGGCTCCTGGCTGGAGGATCATCTTGGGAAACCAGTTCACTTACCTGAGCTTCTGTTTTCTTGTGTTTAACAGGGAGGTGACAAAACACATTTGAGCTCCTTCTCTCTCAAGGAACAAAATGATCAGACACGGGAAATTTTGTAACCTCTAAAGCTGAGCACAAAGATGAGAAATTACTGAGAACGAGGGTGGATCAGAGCTCGCCCTGTGACAGTCCCACATCACACGTGACTGTTGAGAACTGGAAACATGGCGAGTGGTACATGTTGCAAATACTTCAGATATTTTGGATTAAACAAAATATATTATTAAAATTAATTTTGCCTGTTTCTCTTTCCTTGTGTAATGAGGTTACTAGAAAATTTGAACTTATGTATGTGGCTCACGTCACGTTTCTAGTGTACAGTCCTAGCCTAGACACATGAAGTAAGTGGTGGATGACAAAGCATTAACTCTACACCCCTAAGTGCAAACTGGGAATTCTAAGGCCCTTGATGCATTTAAAAGACTATCTCGGGATGAATGAGCTGTGTTTATGTCCTGGCATCTGCGAACTGAAGGATATTTGGTTTCAGGGTGGTGCAGACATGAAATATGACCTTGGAAGTAGAACCTAAAGGAAAAAGGTAAATTCTATCCTCAAAGGAAAAAAAGATGGATTCACACCGCAAAGGAAATTGCATGGAAAAGCACACCAGTTTCGAGGGGAACATGAGGGGGGATCTGGAACAGCCACCGTGCCCTGCCCGTGTGCCTTCTGGGCTTTATCATGATCCTACGAGGGAGCCTGATGCCAGCTGCTCAGGCTTCCTGGCCAGCGCCCAGACGAAAGGAATGCGGCTCTAGGTTCAGCCCTGCCACTTGGGCCCCGTGGCCCCGTAAATTCCATGGTACCAGGGGATTTTGTGGCGGGTAAGGAGACGGTGTGAGGTCGGTGAGTCCAGCCCAGCCCTCTGGGGTTCTGGAACAGGCCATGCCATCCCCAGCAGAGCCCTTCTCTGTTTGAAGAGCAGACCCTAGCATGCTTTGGGGGCCTGGCTGAGCCTACGTCTGATGTGACTCACTGAAGCACTGGCACTGCCACGAGGATCTGGGTGCCTGCAGACCCACTGAGTCACTGGGGGCACCATAGCAGTGCACGGTGGAGACAGGGCACTGGGGGTTAGTCCTAAACAGCTCTGAGGGCACACAAGCCCCCCGCAGACAGGACATCTGCCGAGTCATGCTCTCCCGAGGCACCCAGGCGGCAGCTCTGACCCGTGGACCGCCGGGGAGGGTTCCTACAGAGGCCAAGGGCGGAAGGAAAGATCCTCGCCCGGATCGTGAATCAGGTCAGCTCAGGATGCTGATCCAAGCCCCAAAAAGACTGCAGTCACCACAGCAACACTCACGGTGGCCCCGAGAACAGCAGTGAGGGGACAGCCTTGTGGTGGACAGAGTGTCCCTGAGTACAGCTGGTCACCAGCGGACGTGGGGGAGAGACCCCCGAGCTAATGAAGTGGCCATCTTGGGGAAGAAAGAAGAGATTCACTGAAGAAAAACATGGGCTCACCATGTGGTGCTGGCTGCCTGGGTCAGTCCGTGGTTACGGGCTCTGGGGCGAGCCGTCCCTCCAGCTTCCACATGCTCTTCTCTAGCTGCGTCCGGATACCCGGGAACGAGCACAAGGACACCCCGAGGGGGGCCAGCGAGGACGGGCGTCCACCAGCCCCGTGTGCAGAGGGGGCAGGCAACAAGGGGGTCAGAGGTATTTTAAGGAACAGGTTTTAATGATGGCAAATGACGATGAAGGGCGGTCAAGGGGTGTTGAAATGTTGGTGGGGAAGTGGGAGGGGACGGGAGGGTTTGGGCCCAAGGCTCACTGAGGTACCAAGAATGCCAGCTGCAAGGAGAGCGAGATGCCCAAGTGAAGATTTCCCAGGTGCGCTGGCTGCAGAGTGCGTGGCGCTGGGGCGGAGGTGAGAGGTAGGGAATCGAAAAGCCGGCACACTGAACAGGTAGGCGCTGATGCGGCCCAGAATTAAGGCCGGAGGAAGGCAGAAAGACGGAGTCCGGCGACCAGGCCCTCCGTGCTATGGGAGGAGCGGCTGGGCAGGTGGCAGGTCAGGCTGCGGGGAACACGGAGAACAGGGA